TGATTAGGGCAGGTCCTACACTTGATTCTATTGCCTCTATCTATTTCTCTGGTTCATTTACTACACTTGACTCCTAAAATATTTTCTAAAGAACAATGCTTAGGGCAGGTCCTATACTTGATTGTGTTGCCTCTGTCTATTTCTCTAGTTCATTTACTACAATTGAACACTTGCCTCTGTCTGATTCTATTTGTTGCCTCTATCTGATACATTTGCTGCACTTGATACACTTCATTCCAATAAAACTTTGGTGCACTTGATACACTTCATGATATACTTTTACAAAAAGCAAAAAATGTGCAGTCCCTATTGTATGCTACACTTGATCAGAAAATGATATACTTTTACAAAAAACAAAAAATGTGCAGTCCCTATTATATGCTACACTTGATCAGAATATGATATACTTTTACAAAAAGCAAAAAATGGCATTCTAGGCCAACAAAAAGCAAAAAGAATGTGCAAAAGGTTCACTTGGAAGTACATATAGATATTGTACCTTCCCTTGACCATCTTTGCACACACACCAAAAAAGTACTTAATCATTAAGTACTTACATATGTTCCTCTAAGAACTTTTGTGCATTCTCATACACTTCTGTGCTTACTCCCAAATTCTGTGGTAGTATTCCTTGTCTGGCCAACTTACTTTTTCCCATATGAGGAATTTTGAATTGGTTTCCTCCATTATGACTGAGTATCTCACCCATCACCCCTTGTAGAGTTAAGAAGACATTGTTTAGTTTGTCATGTGATAGTTCTTCAAAGGCTGTTGTGACAGACTTAACCAAGTCTGTCAATGACCTAGGAGCTGTTTGGTCTTGTACTGAGTCAATGGATCTAAAAAATCCTAGATCAAGTACATTTAAATCAGGGCTGTTGGGGGGCTGGAATTTCAGTGGAATGTTCCAGTCCCCTTCTTGAGCAGCAGCAGCAATTTCAGGGTCATTGCCATCCACATGAGGCTTAACATTATCTTGTTGGATAATAATATCCCTTGATGACCCAGGCCATTTCTGCTTAATTGCAGGTATCAAATTAGTCAGTAACATTCTCTTCATAACATCTCTATTCACAGTTGGTTCAGCCTTTGTTTCCAATGTCCCTGCAGGCCTGTTTTTACTAGACCTTTGCGCTGCCTGTTCAAAAGTGAATGGGAAAATGCCTATTTTCCCATCCCATAACACATCTCCACCCTCCCCATACCTTGGCCTGCCTACTGCAGCCAGGAACATGATCTTTGGTATGAAGCTTTTGCTTTGAGTGGTTCTGTAGGGGTCATGTTCCTCTGGCAGAGCATAGTCTTTTTTGCTTACCTGACTCACATAAGTATGGCTTTATAGCACTTGAATGTCTCCTTATTTCTTTGCGCTTTAGCCATCGGTGGACTGTGGATTTTGAAACCTTCATGGCAAAGCTAAGTGCACGCATGTTCTTGCGTCTAGACAACGGGATAGCTGCCAGTTTTTCCATGTTTACAAGCACCCTTTTTCTGCCACAACTTCCTTTCCAATGGTATTGAACATCAATAGGTAGGCCGGAGTCCAATTGTGCTTTAGCAATTTGCCAAATGTTGCTCACAGTTTTCCTTGTAAAGCTGAATTCCTCAGCAACTTTGCTGATTAAACCGTGCTGAAGTTTGCCATCCTTTGACTTTTCTAGTAAAACATCAGCAACTCTTTTTCTTTTTTGATTAAGTTGAGCTCCTTTACTCTGTGCTTCTATTTCTGTTTCTGTTTCTGTTTCTGCTGCAGGGGTGAAAAGGTTGTCGAAGGGGACTTCTATAACATTGGGTAGATGGTGCAACGACGAGGAGTCATGTGTCGATAAAGACGAAGGTGAAGAAGGCTGCTCGGGAGGGGGCATTGTAGGCAACCGGGCCAGTAAGAAGATAAAGATAATAAAGTGAAGAAGATAAGTGAAATGAATGCATTCAATGCATTCATTTAAATATGCAGTGCCTGTATGAATTTGTAATTTTTTGTTTAGGTTTTGGAGGGGTGTTTTGGAGGGAATATCAAATTTTCCCAAAAAAATTCACCATCTAAACAAATTTAATGAATGTAATGTATGGTGATGGTGAATGTAATCCCTGTAGTTTGAGACATGGGCAGTACGGATGGGTTTTTTGGGGTATGATTGCCTGCCATAGTTAATGTGATGCGTACTCCACTAGCTATAAAATTTTGCTTTACACTATTCATGAGTTATTGCAATTTTGCTTTTTGATTAGGGTTGGGGGGTAAATTGGGGAAGTCAAAGCAAAAAATTGNACAAATTTAATGAATGTAATGTATGGTGATGGTGAATGTAATCCCTGTAGTTTGAGACATGGGCAGTACGGATGGGTTTTTTGGGGTATGATTGCCTGCCATAGTTAATGTGATGCGTACTCCACTAGCTATAAAATTTTGCTTTACACTATTCATGAGTTATTGCAATTTTGCTTTTTGATTAGGGTTGGGGGGTAAATTGGGGAAGTCAAAGCAAAAAATTGGTCCCCTTATTTTGCTAAAAAGTCAAAATGGGTAAGACTCAAAGGGACGGAGGGAGTATCAAATAAACCAGTATTTTATTGTGAAATTTGCATTAAATATACTACTCTGTAAAATATTTGTCTTCTTTCAATGTATTACCTAAAACTTTTTTATTCCCTAATAGTATTTAATTATAGACATTGATCACGAACAATATCCAGTGACAGTGGACATTGAACAGTAGTGGACTAGTGGCGGTGGACATGGAACAATGGAGGCGGTGAACATTGAATAGTGGTGGCGGTGAACATTGAATAGTGGTGACGGTGGACATTGAATAACCCCCCCCCCCCCCTCTTTCTTTTTTTCTTGTCCCACAAAGTTCTCCATTTTTTTATTAAAAAACCACTTATACTTCTACTAATTCTTAACCTACATATCACATCATACATTTTTAGTACTCCGTAATAATCTACCCATCACATTAAGGATATTTTTGGAAAGTCAAAACAAAATTATCACTCCTTTAAATTTTCTAAAAGTCAAAAAAGAAAAATCTTTAAATTTTCGTATGCAAAATTTGCCAGTTGCATTCCTAAAACTAAATGGTTAAATTCTTTTATGTATCTACTTCCATTTTCTTGAAATTAGTTCAGTTTAAGAATATATTTGTTAGTTTGGTTATACTTTTCAGTTTTCAAAATGATGTTGGATAGTGGATTAGTGGGTCAAAAAAAAGTGGTCAGATACGAGATTCAATCTTGTTTGTTTGATTTTAGAAAAAAGATAACGTTAGTGTTTCTTTGATTATGCATGTGAAACTAATATTTCCTCAGTCTTTTAAAGATTGCACTAATTTGATTTTTTTCGATCAAAATGACATTTTTTAATTACAAATTTTAGAAAAAATATATTTACTTATTATATAAATTTAGTAAAATTAGGTTTATTTTAAAATATAATTTTAAAATTTTAATTTTTTAAATATTTAATTATTTTAAAGTATATTTAATTTGTGGACTCGTGGTCAGAGAGTATCTTAATTTGACCCAAAAAGTCAAACTGTGACAATCTTTTAAAGACGAATAAATTATTAACTCAAGGCATATTCTATGTTCAAAGTAGTTTAAATATGTTCAAAGTAAAACATGAGTATATAGACAAACACACACATATACATACATAATGAACTAAAATTAAAGAAAACCCCCTAAATAGGAGTAAATCATCGTACATATACCCAAAATAGGAGTACCAAACTTATATACCCGAAATAGGAGTAATTATTATAATCCAATTTACTCTGTAATTTTATAGTGTCCCTCCACTTCCGAACGATCGGTAAAACAACACAGCCGTACCACCGGCCTCCTTTCTCTCTCCTCCTTTTCACCATTGCACCGCCGCTGCTGCAGTCGTTGTCAAGCCCCTTCCGCCATTGCCGCCGCCCCCTTCTGCCATCGCCTCTTCTCCCTTGCTGCCATGTTTTTTCAATTCGTTGGCATGTTTTTGGTTTCATTTATTCAGCAAATTCCTTCAATGAATCTTGATTAGATCTATGTTTATATTTGTTGGGGTTGCAAATTTTCATTGGAATTTTTGTGTGTGTTGCGTGCATACAATGCAATCTCGTTGGATTTCCATGATTTTCTAAACTTTTTTCCTGTTTTCGTTGCATATTTCTTTTTGGATTTGTTGTGTGTACTCTTTGTGTTTATTTTAGCTATAATTTTAACAAATCAAAGAATCCAAACATACTTTTGAGATTATCTTTCTTTTCTAGTTTTTCTTTAGACGCAGAAAGAAAATCTTATTGTTTGTGTGATTGAGGTACTTGGAATAAAAATTTAATTGGCACTCTTGATCTAGAATATGAATTACTATATTGAAGTTTGAATTGAATGATAATGACATTGAAAAATTATAGAGTTTCTTGGCATTTTTTCCTTTTAACATTATGTATTGTCATTTGTTACATTATATGTTGACATATTTGTCATTATAGTTGACATGTTTGTCATTATACATTGTCATTTATTGCATTAGGCATTGACATGTTTGGCATTATGCCTTGTTTGATATTATGCATTCACACATATAATTTCATGTGTGGCAATATATATAGTCATGTTTGGCATTATGTCCTTCACATTATATGGACAGTTAATGTGGCATTATGGTGGCGATGGTGGGAGATTTTCTTTTAGTTTATGATCTAGAGACTAGAGATGTTAGTGTTGGCTAAGAGAATTAAAGAGTGACTTTTTTGCAATCTAAAAATATGGGTATTACTTTTATGTGAGGGGTTTTCATTTTTTTGAGGTTTTGAAACAAATATCTTCCAAACTCCTTTTTAGTATTGATTGTATTGCAAACCTATAATTTTTATGTTTGGAATGTGAGTTGAAAGTTGTGGGGCTCATTTGGAATGTGCACTCCATTATTGCAATGTAGGTGCATTAGTAGCGGCGGCGGCAACAGTGGGAGGAGGGGCGGTGGTGAAAGTGGCGGCGACACTCCTCTTGAGCGTTGACTCCTCCTCTTGAGCGTTGACTGCTTGGCGACGGTGGCTGGCTTCTTGCACATCGAGTATTACTATAGGTGATGGTGGTTGCGACTCCACGGAGAAGAAGAGCAGAGGCAGCACGACTTCGGGATAGGATCTGCTTTTGAATGGCGGTGAGTTCCTCCTAAGCACAAGCGACTAAAGCTTCAAACCTACAGCACTCACCAATCGACTCTAGGGACCAGTATCAGAGAGTTGCTGTCAAATGCATTTGTCTACAGCTCTGGCAGTGGTATGGACTTCATCACCTATTTCATGCACTTTTGGCTCTTGAATTATACAAAGAATATATATTCAGTGGTTAATAAGTAAAAAATGGAAAAAGAAGTAAATTGGAATGGTTCACATGCATCTGGAGAGGGATTGAGCTTAGTCATAAGGTGCTAGGCATCGGAAAAGACAACAGGATCGACAAAAAATGGACGTTGCTCGAAACTAAAGTATCCTGGGCTGAAGAAACTTGAGAATTTCTTTCGTTGGATATATGGATTATTGCCCTTTTTGTAGCTTGGGTGAGTCAACAATGTTGGGGAAGCACGAAATAAAACACAACGGAAGCGTATAAAATCTTTTCCCCAAATTAATGAGATGAATAACAAGCACAATGAACTCTGAAAAATCAGCAGCACACACACAAATAAATGGCAGCGATAATAAAATAGATGACACACGATTTACGTGGAAACCCCAAATCAGGGAGAAAACCACGGCCGCTCAACAACGGCTCCCAAACTTCCACTAATCACCAAGAATCAAGTGGGTACAACAAGTTCTCCTCTCTAGTAAACACTAGAGGCATACACAATCATCAAGGAGCAACCTTGGAACAAACAACAATCAACAATTCACCATAAAATGGAGTAAAAACTCCCAAAAACGCAGGTCTGAAAACGCAGCAAGAAAACCACCTTCCGG